AAATTCAAATATATGATATCGTATTATCAATTACACTGAATGCCTTTATTTGTTTGAAAATCATAATAGAATTTTCTGTAATTACAGAAAAAGAGTTAATATTTTGATTTTATATCAATATTGGATTTAGAATTTTGAGAAAAGGACAACAATCATGATCACAAAACATGTTTTTTTTTTTTGAATCGACTGTTTTTTCTGGCGAGAAAAATATTTCGAAAGAAAGCGCGTCTATAAATCTGTCATTGATTTTTTTTTGAATTTCTATTTGCTATTTATTGAACAATGACTATGATGCTATAAACCAATCTTATTTCGTACTAGACAATGTAAATTTATTCTTCAAATCAATGCACTAGTTAATTTAATTACATCAAACAATATTTTTTGTCTATTTATCCATAAGAAAAATTCAATTTTCGACATATATATACATTTATTCAACTATGACAATAAATTCAAAATGCTAAATACGAATCCATAAGTTTTTGAATTTTAGAATATAAATAGCCCTAAAGAGGGCTGTTGGGTTTTAGAATATTCTTTATATTTTATTGAGAATGTTGTTCATCATCTCAATATTAAACCATCAATAATTTATTTAGCACTGGTATATTTAGTAACAGCTTTTGTTCCTTCTGAAACAGCATGTTTAGCTAATTCACCAGGTAATAAGAGACGAACAGCTGTTTGAATTTCACGTGATGAAATTGTTGATCGTTTGTTATAATGTGATAAACGTGAAGCTTCAGCAGCAATACGTTCAAAGATATCGTTGACAAATGAATTCCTATTTAAATCAAAAAGAATAAAAAAAATTCGCAAAAAAAATTTCCAATTAAACTTACATAATTGACATAGCTTTTGATGAAATACCAGTATCTGGATGAACTTGTTTAAGAACCTTGTAGATATAAATTGAATAGGTTTCCTTTCGTCGACGTCTATGTTTCTTTTCACTTTTGCCTCCGGCTGCACCTTTGCTAGTTTTAGTAACAGCCTTTTTTGAACCTTTTGATGGTGTTTGAGCTTTTGGTGGCATAATGAATTTTTTTTATCAATCGAATAAACGATAGAAGAAAAATGTGTAGCGAAATATAAGAATGAACTATGCATACGTCTTCATTTATATAGACCAGTCTAATGACAACTTTTTTTAACCAATAGACATATAGAATTATTTATTTTCTATTGGTCAACTACTGTGTATCAACATTCTGTCAATATATATATAAAGAAAAAATAGAATAACAACATGTTTTTTTTTATTATTAAGAATAATCAGTTATATCTTTAATCAAAATTCAAAAAATTTAAATAGTAGCATTTGAAATATTTTGTAATATATTACGTCATTATTATAAATTATATTGCAGTAATTTGAATAAAGAAAATTATGAAGATATGCCGAATATGGATAGAAATGTAACTGCTTCTAATACAACTAATCTAGTTAAATATATATATGTATATTTCTTTTTGAAACTTAAATAATTATCTTTAGAGTTAAGGTAGAAGTTTATTTTATATATTTTCACAAATACTTGTTCGTTTTTATTATAACAAAAATCAATATAAAAATAGACAAAAAAAAAAAAAAGAATTTTTTCATTCGTTTGGATTAGACCATAACCATGTTCTTGCACCGACTATTGCAGCAGTAGTGGAATGTGCCGGAAGACGTTTTTCTAAACAATAAAAAAAATATATATATTTAGAATAAATGAAACAAGATGTGTATTTTTTTTCAACTTACGTCGTGATAATTTCTGTTGTTTTCGTTCACCTAGAAAGAAAAACAAAAAAAGGCAGTTTTTTACTTAAAAAAAAAATTTTAAAATAAACAACACAATATGATAATCAATAGAAAACTCTCAATCGATATGTTATACTCATTATTCTTATGACTATAATATATATTTTATGAAATTTCTTCTGAATTAAAAATCATCATACCTTTAAATAAAGCACTAACATAAAAAACAAAAACAATTGTTGGAATAAAAAATGATATTCCAATAATGGCCATATAATCAGGATCATGACGTTTACATTCATATATTTTACTCCATAATAATCGAGTATAATTCATCTTGAAAGATAAAAAAACTAAATATATAGAATAAGATATGTTTCTTTTTTTTTTTATTTCATTTACTGTATCAACAATATCCATACAAACACCATTTTTATTGTCTCGTGTTATTTGTATAAAGAATTCATTTATCTCATTGTAAACTGTTGAACATACTGTACATACATTTGTATTCAATGTAACATTAAGATCAATTGGAATAATTGGAACCATACGCTATAAATAATAAAAAGTATTTGAAAAATATTTTATTCAAAAAAAAAAACAAACTTACACCAGTAGCATTAAATATACAAAGATCAAAATTTAATTTTTTCTGAACGAATTTTATTGTATGATTAGTTAGACTATAATCAGTTGTACCATTCGTGTCTTTATAATTTTTGATACAATCTAGACAAAAAGTTTATTTTATTATTGAGAATTTCTTGAAAATGATTTATGAAATTAATCCTTTCCGAGTATGTTTAGTCTATGATAGGGAATAATAAAATCAAAATCTTTACGAATTCAATACGGACTACTTGTGCTAAATTACATGAGAAATCATCATTATACTGGCATAATCAAGAAAATTAATTTATTCACAAATTATTCTAAAAGATGATTTTTTCGATGAAATAGTTCAAATGGATGAATTCGAGTCGTTTTGAAAGCTATCAACTCGAATAATTTGCTTTGACATCTTATTACTTTTCGTATATTCTGCATTCAATATTTTAAATGAATAATTTTTTGAAAAATTCTAATATCTCATCAAATCGATTGATTATATATTTTGAAAAAAGAAAACAAATATTCTCATTTCTTTTTTTTGTTTTTTACAACTTACTATCACAATATGATAAACCCCAAATATTATGTACAAATGAAATAAGTTGAGCAACAACTTGTATTGAATCATAACTTTCAAGAAATCGTTTACATGTTATCGTTCTATCAACATCAGAATATGTCTAAAGAAAAATATTTTCAATTATAAAAAAATAAAGATTAAATTCAAAAAAATACAAACTAAATCTAATAAACCAACAAGATCTTGTAGTCGTGCATAAGTATCAACACAACCTTCACATAATTTAAATGGTCTTGCTCGACTTACAGCACAATTAAGAAATGCAGATGACATATCCGATAAACGATCAAGTATAGCTAAACAAGGATTTGATATTGGATATATTGGATCAGTATAATTTCCATGTATTAATTCAAGAAATAAATAAAAAATTAGAATTTTCCACATAATTATTATACTAACATAGAAAAAAAAACCAAAAGTCCTATGTATCTCATCTGTAGCATGTAACTCAATAAACCAATCAGTATGTAAAGCGCTACAATCAATAAACGATTTCATAAAAATAATAATAAAAATTTTTTTAAATGAATAAAAACTTTTATTTAATAAAAAAGATTTTTTTTAGAAAAAAATTTTTTTTTTCCATTTTCTATTCGATGTTATTCGGAGGTCGATAAAAAACTGATGAGATTAAATAATTTTACAGTATGGCTACAGGAAGTCTAAATTACTCAAGAAGAATAAAAATTATGATTTATATCATTTCTTTGTTATATTTTCTAGATCATGTCGAATACAAATCAAGATCAATTAGGAGATCAACAAGAAGAAGAAAATTCTGTATAGAATTATTTTATTTCTATTTAAATTTTTTTTTTGAATTTTTTTTTTTTTGGTTAGAATGAGCAACGACAAGAGAATAACAATACCCCGGCTAATCAAGAAAATAATAATGCTCCGGCTAATCAAGAAAATAATAATGCTCCGGCTAATCAACAAAATAATAATGCTCAAGCACGACCACGTCAATCACCATGGGAAATATTTAAATCATTTGCTTTTCGAATGTTATTATTTTATTTTATTACACAATTTTTTCGTCGTTCACCAACAAATAATACAACAGGAAATGTTACAACACCAGTGAATACTCATAATGGTTATGCACCAGGAAATCTTTTTGGGCATGGAGATTTACTTGTAATAATAATAAAATTTATAAAAAAACAAAATTTTGTTTTTTTTTTTGTAAATTTTTCATTTAGGATATGTATATGTTTATTAATGAAGAAGAAATTTATACATATGATCCATTACGAAAACCAATTTGGGAAATAGATGCTTTGAAATATGGCGATTGGACACCAAGTGGTACTCATACAAAATTTATTGAATTTCCTATTTCAAAAGTATGATTTATTATATAAAGAATAAACAAAAAGGTTTTTTTGAATATTTGTAATTAATAGAATATACAAAATAATGGGTCACTTTATTTACATGTTGTTGTAACTAAACATGGATATTCAATTGATCCTGATGAACGTGAATCGCATTCAGCACAATATGTTTTTTTAAAGAGCAAACGTAAATTATCAAATTATTATTTAACAAATAATTATGTTTTATTTTATTTTTAGGTTTAAATAGATATAAAAGAAAAGTTTATAAAAAAACAAAAAATCTTTTAACTGGAAATACTGAACAAGATGAAGAATATCAAAAGGTTTGACGAGAGAAAAAAGAAAAGTTTGTGTTTTTTGATTTAAATGATTTTTGAAATTTAGAAAGCCGATGATAAAATTATTGAACTTTTATCACATTGGCATCCAAATATGACAATTAATTTACTTGATGATCAATCACCATGGACAAAAGGCAGTATACCACCACCTATGGATAAATGTAAATTCATAGATTTTTCTTAATTATTTGAATTTTTCAAGGTGAAAAAAAAGAGAGACAGACGAGACGCTCGTAAAATGTACTTTTAAGGTCATATAAAGTTCAGGAAGATTAATAAAATGTTTTTTTTTATTGATAAAAATCAGTTCAGTGCATTGTTATGGATGAATAATAAGTAGAATTTGAATGATATTTGAGAATAGGTGACTTAAAAAGGTGCGTTGTTGAATTCTCTATAAAATAGACTTGCACGATGATTTGATTTCCTATTATAACTTAATTAGAAGTGTAAACTGATCGGCTCAACTACTATTGCTGATTAATGCACAGATTATTATTTCTGAATGTGGCGATAAACCTTTGTATATGGAAACATTGTGTTACCAGACAAATATTTATTTTGAGGCTTATTGAATATTCATGTGAAAAACTCAGTAAGAGTTTTCAGTTCTATTTTTGTTAAACATTCAAACTTTTATGATTTCTGAAGAGATATGAATTAAATATACAATCTTGCAAGTCTAAGAAAATTGTTTAAAGTTTTTAAAAAATTTTGATTAGAATTATCCAATATTTAAAAATCATTCAACTAACTAACGAGGAAGCAGTCTCAAATATCTCCTTTCAACTTCAATGATTTTTGTTTTGCCTATAGATACTACCTAATGTTCTAATAAAAATTCTAAAAGGGAATCTTTTTTATGGAGGCTAGTCTAGTTCAGTTCTCTGTATGCGCAAAGTTTCAGAAAACCTGGAACGCCGAGAAAAATATCGATAGCTTAGGCAAATTCAAATGCTTTTAGAGTTTTTATTAGAACACTATGTAAAATCTATAGACAAAAAAAAAACATTAAAATCGGAAGGAAACATCTGAGGAAGTATTCTCTTTAAAAGAACGGGTAGAAACTCTCCTAGCTATGGATATCAATCGTCTCTGAGTCATTAGTTTCATCGTGACACATACCAAACTCTCATTTCTATTCGAATAGTACAGTTTGAATATTTTCTGATAAATTACATCACTTGATTTGATAATTACAATATGTATAAAGTAAAAGCATGAGTACAAAATTTGAAAGTACAGACATAAATCATGTCTTAATCCATACAAATAATTCTTATATAAAATAGCTTTTTCAAAATTGTTGACTAAATAAAATTCATGCTCATAGTTTAAAATACAATATGATTTTTATCTTTACATTCCTATATTTATATTCATCAATAGCATAGAACTTGTAATAGAATATTACAATCAAATTGTTCACAATTGCGAATTACAAAAAAAAAAACAAATGAAATCAGCATAAATTTCTGCATTCTAAATTGCGAATATGTTTTTTTTTTCGTGCTAATTTGGCTTAATTTTTTATTCGCAATTCTGCATATTTTTATTATAAATATTCTTCCACTTTTGTTTTTTTTTTTTTCATTATCATTTTTATAATTTATTATTTAATTTAGTTTTTGACTTTGATGTTTATACGGGAAAATATTATCCTGTACTTTATTTAAATGATTATTGGAATCTTCTTTCTGATTATTATCCAGTTAATAATACAATCGAGTAATAGAAAATATGATTTATTTTTTTTTTTTAATTATATTTTATCGGTTTTTTTATAGTAAACTTAATCTAACAATGACTGTTGCTCCAATACAATTATGGAAATGGCAAATGTATATATCACAAAATTTACGTCAATCATGGTATGGAAATTTACTTGGCGAAGAAGAAAATGATGATGATCAAGATGCAATGAAAGTAAAGAAAAAAAAAACTTTCTTTTTTCGTGTTATAAATATTAATTTTTTTTTTGTTTTTAGCGTGCACTTGTTGAAACTAATCCATATTTACTTGTGATTACTATTGTTGTATCAATTATACATACCATTTTCGAAATATTAGCATTTAAAAATGGTACGTATATATTTCTTTTTTTCTTAATTAGATATATATGAAATCGAATAAAAAAACAAATCAGTTAGTTCCATCTACATTAAACAATGATAACGTTTTTCATTCTTTCAAAAGAGGCTGTGCTATTGTATGGTTTCATATATGATTCAATCATGTCAGTTAATGATCCAGTTGACAGTCAATGAGCTTCAGAAAAATACTGATAGTTCTATGAAGATAACAAAAAAGTTTAAGTCTAAGCATTTGGTTTCTCGGCGTTTTCTCTTTTTATGATCTTGCATGTCAAAATTCTCGAAAGAACTTCCTTGTAGTCAATTAATTTATTTTGTTCATTCAGATTATTCTTCTTTTGTAATTTCTAGTCTTTAGTAGATGTAAAAATATGAAGAGAAACTAACAAATGATAAATTATCAAACATGTAAAGACAAGATTCTACCTTTATCAAAGAAATTTAAATAAGAACAATTCCATCATTTTGATAGAGCAACTACAGTTTTAAAGCATGGAAAAAGATAAACAATAGTATAAGTATTTAGAGGTCTACAGTACATAAATGAAAAATTTAAATAAGACAAAATTATCGATTTTTGTAATGTTCTATGAATAGGTTCAGATGGATTCTAGAACAGGCAATAAAGTTTCGAAATGAAGACAACAAAAGATGTAGAGATTGAGTTTGGTTCATTTTTAAGTAAACACTTGTCTACATTAGAGACTTATGAAGTCATGCTTTTTTAATTGCGGAAGTTTTTGTAAATTACCGACAGCTTACATATTGGACGATATTATATAATTTAAAGTCACGTGAATCATCTAATGATAGAAATCGAGATATTGAATGATGCAGGTCTCTCTTTTTTTTTTTCTTCGCAATAATCACTTGTGAAAGTTAATCCAGTGCAGATGTTTTCTTTTGGTTTTTTTTTCTATCTCATGTTATTTGACTATTCGATTGACAACTTCCGTTCCCTGGGCGTTACTATTGTCAAAAATAAATGAAATAGAGTTTTCCGAGTTTCTATAATTTTGCATCAACTGATTAATTATTGACAAATCTTTCAATAGTATAAATTTAGAATTTTAATAATATTTAAATCATTTAAATATGTATTATTTAGATATTCAATTTTGGCGAACACGAAAATCTCTTGAAGGTTTATCTGTTCGAAGTGTTTTTTTCAATATATTTCAAAGTTTTATTGTTCTATTATATGTATTTGATAATGAAACAAATACAATGGTTCGTATTAGTGTTTGTGTTGGTATACTTATTGAATTATGGAAAATACCAAAAATTCTTAATTTTGAAGTATGTTTCTATTTTTTTTGTTTTTCTTATATTGAAATTTTTTTTTTTTTGTGTAGCGTTTACCAAATGAAACATGGTTTGGTTTCATTCCAAAATATAAATATGTTTATAAACCATCTTATACTGATACATCAACATCGGATTATGATCGAGTTTGTTATATATTGATTATAATAGGTTTTATTTTTATTCTATTATATTTAGATGGCTTTTAAATATCTTTCATGGACATTATTTCCATTAGTTATTGGTTATGCATGTTATTTATTAATGTATCATGAACAAAAAAGTTGGTATTCATTTTGTTT